GCGCTCGCCTTGAGCTGAAGAGCTGAGGGACAGCGCCCAGGCCCAGAGTTCAAACCCCACAACCGACCAAAAAAAAAAAAAAAGAAAGAAAATAAGACCCATCGAGATTTCTTGAGCTGGAGCTCGAGCCTACGCTTCCCAGGTCTGTGCCCACGTCCCCACCCTTCCCCGGTACAGGGGCCTGTGCTCTGCTCTCTACCTGGTGTTCACCCAAGTGGTTGGATGTGATGGAGAGGTACCCTTCTCCCGCGGCCACTGCTGAGCTGGGGTGCAGAGTTGAGGGTCTGGGGAGCCCAGCGGCAGGGGCCAGGTTGATTGAAGCGCTTGCCGGGCTGAGCGCAGGGAGGCATGGCCAGCAAAACAAGTACGCACACTCACCTTCCAGCTGTGTGCCTTTGTAAACCTGACGTCATCTCGGACACTAATAGACTGTGTTTGTTGTTGCAGACATGAAGACACGCATGCCTATAATCACGTCAAAGAAGTAAGTGACCTGAAGCTTGGCTTTCCTTATAGTTATAGCTCAAATAAGACTCTTAGGTAGCCTTTTTCACATGCAAGGTTTTTTCTTGTTTTGTTTTTGCATAGACAGGTTTTAGAGAATCTGAGTTTTATGTGGCTCAAATCATATTGGAAATGCATTAAGTGAACTCTCTGCTTTAATTTGCTTACATTTTCATACTTTGTTAAATGGTGACTTAAGTTTTATCAGATGAAGCTCTTAAAAAAAAAAAAAGCCGGGCACCAGTGGCTCACACCTGTAATGCTAGCTTAGGAAATTTGAAGCCAACTTAGGCAGGAAGGTCTGTGAGACTCTTATCTGCAGTTAGCCATAAAAAGCAAGAAATGGAGCTATGGCTCAAGTATTAGAACAAATAGTAGCCTTGGGCAAGACAAAGCTCAGGAACAGCACTCAGACCCTGAGTTCAAGCCCCAGGAACAGCACTGAAAACAAAAACCAAACAATAAATGCTTTTTTCACGACACTTAGAATATGCAGAAGTATATGAAGACAACCTTTACCCAGGATCTGCTGTTGAGGAACGCGCCGGTTGTTCACTGTGCAGTCTTCCAGCCTGGTACAGACATGCTGGCACTGATGCATTTCTGCTTGCAGGTATGAGCGTCGTGTGGAATGGGCCACGGAGGTCATGCGGAGACAAGGCCAGGATGAGAGCACAGTGTGCGAGATCCTCAAGGAGTTCACAAAACCTCTTGGACATCCTTGCACAGGGAGGAGCGAAAAGTGTGAACAGTGCGATGCCCGCGGCTCCCAGGTCGCCTCCACCCTGTGCCACACAGCAGAGACCCAGGGTCCTTCTGTGATGAATGGAGACTCTGGACAGCGGGGTGGGCACCCTGATGGCCTGCAGGAGAGCTCTGGACACGACCTGCCTCCTGCACACCGCCTCGAGGGACCCATGGTAGAGGACACGGCAGCTCTGCCCCGAGAGCCCCTCAGCGCCCAGAGCGGACATCAGCCAGCAGGACAGATGGGGTCCGAGGCTGAGTACGTGCTGGTGGAAGAAAGCCTGTGTGATGAGCAGCAGGAGGCGGGCACCCTAGCGGAGGATGTAAGTAAAAGGAAGCACCCCAGTTCTCCTTATGGGCAGCCCCCATTATCCACAGACTGAAAATACCTGGATTTGTCTTGATCTGGGGAGAGAGACACCACACTGACACCACTTACCATAGTACGTTGTTACAGTTATTCTGTTAGTGGTCGTTGTTAACTCCTACTACACCCGATCTATAAGTTAGTTAAACTTTGAGCGTGTCTGGATGGGGAGAAGCGGGGTTTGTATGGAGCCTCACTGGGACCCTTGGGCGCCCCCTGCAGGTGCAATAGTATGTATGGAGGTAGAGAGCCTCCTGGAAGTCACTCCCTCCACAGCCATCTGTTCTGGTCACTGGAGGCAGCTCTGTACGCAGGCCTGTCAGCCCCAAGCATGTGGGATGAAGTTGGAGGGAACCTGCGGGCTGTCAGGGCCATTTCTTGGGACACTAGTAACTTGTTTAAATAACATGCTAGCAATATAAAGCAAGACCAATAATTCCTCTCCTTTGATGGGGAGAAAAAGAAATGCAGTGATCCTTTACATATGATCTGCAATACAGCTCGCATGAGAGAGAACGGGTTTATGAAGTCAAGAACATACGTTGATCGCAGAATCCAGCAAAATGCTCCAAGCTGCAACAAGACTCATAGACAAAGGGAGATGAAATAGGTTATTTTTATAAGCGAGGATTGTGTGTTCACAGTATTTCCACAGCAGCTTTTTAGTTCGGGAGAGTTTATCATTTTAGAGCGCAGTGTCTCTATTAGGGCTTGCATTCGTCCCTGCTCTGTGCTTGATTTCTTTCCTTCTCCTCAGTGGGTACACAGGCGGAGATTAACATGCCGGAGGAATCCGTATAGGATCTTTGAGTATTTGCAGCTCAGCCTGGAGGAGGTATGTGTCCACCAAGCCTGTCAGCTCCCAGCAGGCCCTGCGGGATGCTTCCCGGGAGCCGGCCTTCGCAGCGGTCTCACGGAACGGTTCTGAACAGAACACAGCCGTGGGTTTGGGGTCACCATGAGCAGCCTCAGAAACAGGCCTGCCTACATTTCCCGTCTCAGCCTTTTTCATTTGCTCTAAGTTGTGTGTTGGGGCTGAGGAGATAATGTCTATAGGCCAATGATAGAGTGCTTACCTGTGGTGACAAGTACTACATTAAAACCTTGGCACTGGGAAGTGGCGCTGTGGCTCCAGTGGTAGAGCAGTAGCCTTACACTGAAGAGCTGAGGGACAGCGCCCAGGCCCAGAGTTCAAGCCCCACAACCCATAGAAACAAAAACAAACCTTGGCACTGCTAAAGAAAGAAAATGTGTATTTGAGGACAATTCTATTGTTTCATGAAGGATTAAAGAGGGTTCCTCTGGCATTTGTCTTGTAGTGGTGGTGGGGAGTGGGGAGGTTGAAACAGTTTCTCACTACGTTTAGAACTAGGAACCAATCCTTAGGACTACAGGCGTACACTGCCACTCCCAGCTGAGTACTTGTTTTCTGTTTAGGACTTCAGATTGAATGTTTCAGCACTAATTCTCACCAGCTTTTTTTTTTAATATGGCTTTGTTGAAATATAATTAACATACCATATAATTCACCATCTAAAGTATACAACCTTGGGGCTAGGGATGTTATTGAAAAGAAAAAAAGAGATCATATTGTTGGTAGTGGTAGTAGAAGATACTATAAAATCATTAAAACAATGTAGTACTGGTGTAGGAGTGGAAAGATCAACCAGAAGAGTCTACAACCATACCCACGGATAGATGAGAATTCCAAGTATGGTAAAAACAGTGTTTCTTATCCGTAAGGAAAAGACAGTGGATCTGAGGTATTGGGCTGATTGGCCATGTGGGAAATAAGTCATAATCCTCCCTCCTATCCTATGTCAGAACAGGTGAAGTATCCCCGTGGTCCTGTGTGCTGGGCCCGCTTGCCAGCTGGTGGATGGATTTGGGGGAAGTGACTGGATCCCAGAGGGCCCCGCCCACTCAGTGGACTCACCCCTCAAGGCTTCATAATAGGAGCGGAGGCAGGACCCCGTGGAGGAAGGGAGTTTCTAGCTTTGTCCTTTGGGGACTGTGTCTGCCCTTCCCCCCCACCCTTCCTGTATTCTTCTCTGTTCCTGTCCTCATGCAGTGGGCTGTTCCTGTGAGCCCAGCCACTGATTGAAACCCGAGATCCTCTGAGCCAAAGTAAATCTTCCCTCCGTTCATGCTACGTCAGGTCTGCTGTCACATTAGTGCAAAGTCTGACTGGCACAGAGACATAAAGGAAGAATTTTTAAGGAAAAAAGCAACAGTGGTAAACAGATACTGGTGGCTCATGCCTTATAATCCTAGCTACTCAGGAGGCTGAGATCTGAGGAATGAGGTTCAAAGCCAACCCAGGCAGACAAACCTCTCATTCAGCAAAAAGCTCAAAGTGGAGGTATGGCTCAAGTGGTAGAGCACCAGCCTTGAGTGAAAAAACTAAGCAAGAGTTCAAGCCCTAGCATTGGCACAAAAGAAAAAAAGTTAAGAGGTATGAACTGTCTTCTAAGAAACGTAGCATATAGATTCCACTATTTAAAACTCCGTGTTGGGGGAATAGGTAAGTTGTAGAGCTTGTACAGCATGCCTGTGACATGGATTTGATCCCCAGACCATCCAGCACTGCAGCAAAAAGGGTTCAAGCCTAACCAGAGCACCGCCCGTCCTGAGCTCATCTTCCATTTTAGATTGGTTTCCAACCTCAGCGCCTGCGCCTGCCTCACTGAAATCCTCATCCTGTCTAGAGCACCCTTGCTCTCCTTGGCCTCTTTCCATCCTTGGGATGAGAACCCCAGGAAGCCCCTTGTGGGGATGACAAAGCAGGGGTGTGCCCTGCTCACGGAGGACGCTGTCTGCCCCGTTTCCTGGTGCCACCCACGTGTTAGGTTAGGTGCTGGAGATGAGAATAGGAAATGGGCAGTCCCTGTAGCTGAGGGAGAGGTTGGGTGGGACAGGAAGGGGTGAGCAGTTGTGCACTTCGGATAAGGCCTGCTGTGGAAGTGGCCGGCCGCGAGCCGGCTCCGCCGGGCTTCGGCTCACAGGGTCCGGGTTCTGTACCTGCTTCCATCTTGTGGGCTGGGGCAGTCCATGGGGAAGTAGCTGTCACCTCAGGCTCCACTCCAGGGTGGAGAGGAGCTGACGGGGAGTGGGAGCAACGGAAGAGCTGTGCGCATGGCCCTGTGCTGGTGGCAGATAGACGCCGTACCTTACTGAGTCCTCACCCCACCCCATGAGGAACCCCAGGTCCTGTTACCTGGCTTTGATGGGGGAGAAGCTGATCCTGTACTGGAAGGCGGGGCACCCCTCCTCTGCTGTCCGCGTATTTATAATGTCACTCTCCAACTGTACGGAAGCATCAGCGCTTTCTTGGGCCTCTGTATGGCCTGTGGGCCGGATGCCCCCGTCCCCCTCACGGTAAAGGATAAGCTGTGGTTTGTAATGATAGATGAGGATGAGCAGCAAGCTTGCCCAGCATGCACAGGGTCTTGAGTTCCATTCCCTGTATGGCCCAGAAGCTAAGAACAGTTTAGTTTGCTTTGGTTGGTTTGCTGTGGACTTCTAATCAGGACTCAAACTCACAATCCGCCTACAGATGGGCATGTTATGCCCAGCCCAGAACATCACTTTACTTTTGAGGTGGCAACAATTCAGTCTGTGTAAGACTCTTCCAGGAACATGGACTATTTTTTAAGGCAGTGCTGGGGGTGGAGCCCAAGGCCTTGAGCATGCTAGGCAAGGGCAGTGCTCCACCCCTGAGCCGCAGCAGCCCTAGCCCACGGCGTGGCAGCGGTCCATTTTTGCTTTGTATTTATTTATTTATTTTTTAGTCAGTCGAGGGGTTGATCTCTGGGCCTGGGCGCTGTCCCTCAGCTCTTCAGCTCAAGGCAACTGTTCTACCACTTGAGCCACAGCGCCACTTCTGGTTTTCTGATGGTTCATTGGAGATAAGAGACTTACAGATTTTCCTGCCCAGGCTGGCTTTGAACTGTGACCCTCAGATCCCAGCCTCCTGAGTAGCTAGGATTCCAGGCGTGAGCCACCAGTGGCCAGCTTCATTGTTCGTATTCTTGTTGCTGGCCAATTCTATTGGGATGAGATAGAATTTCGTAGTTGCTTTGATCTGCATGTGCTTTGCAGCCAGGGATGCCGAGCACTTCTTCATGCTTTTAGCGACACGGCAGCGTTTCTAACGCGCTTTCCCCTTGCTGTCTGCAGGCCTTCTTCCTTGCGTATGCCCTGGGATGCCTGAGTGTTCACTATGAGGAGGTAAGGTGTTCGTTAGACAGTCCTCCACCCACAGCAGGCCATACTAATTCTCTTATTTAAAGCCAAATGCTGTCGCTGGTGCCATACCCCAACCCCTACTGATTAAAGTAGGAATTGAGGTGTCTTTTCCTGAGTTTTGGCTTTGGGTTCTGAATGAAGACTGTTCAAGTAAAAGCCAGCTTTGATCTGACCCTTTTAAATTGAATTTTACTCTCAGGAGGAGGGTTTTTTGTATATACTGATCAGGAACTCAGCATCAAAGTAGTACTAAAAATATGCAACAGTAGAATCTAAGGGCTGGCATGTGTGATTCAGTCATTGTAATGTAGCTACACAGAAACAGGACCAAGAGTAAGAAAAGCACATGATCATCTCAGTTGACACAGAAAAAATCTTTGGACAGAATTCATCCTTTTACAGTAAAAGCTCGGAAGAAGCTAGGAGTGGCAGGCACGTCACTGAGCTTAATGAAGGCTGCAGATGATACACCTGCACCCAACATCCTATAACATGGAGAACGGCAAACTCGTTTCTCCTCAAGTCGGGAACTCAGCAAGGGTGTTCACCCTCCTCACTCTTCCCCGAATCCCTAGCAAGAAGCTAGGAGAAAGAAAGAAAAAGGGATTCAAGCAGGGAAAGAGGAAAGCTGCTTACCCCCATATGCAGATTATATGATCCTCCAAAAGCCTGGCCCGTCCTCCTCCCCTGCCCCCTCCTCCACGCCGGTCCCCCTCCCCTGCCCCCTCCTCCACGCCGGTCCCCCTCCCCTGCCCCCTCCTCCACGCCGGTCCCCCTCCCCTGCCGGTCCCCCTCCCCTGCCCCCTCCTCCACGCCGAGATGGGCTCTGCAGCTACGCAGTACCTCTGGCCTCAGTTGCCACTTTCCTGCTTCTGTCAGCAGGTGGAATCACGGGGAGCCCAGGCAGGAGCTGCGGGGGGGCGGGAACCTCGGGAGGCATGCAGATTTCTTCTAGTAGCCACATTAAATTAAAAACAGGTGATGTTAGTTTGAATCACATCACATCGTTCATAGATCAAAAAACGATGCGTTCTTGTCTTCTTTCTTGTAGTGAGTTGGGTCTCGGTGTGTTTCACACTTCTAGCACCTCTGTGGGGCTGAGCTGGCTGAGCCGGTAGATGGCGCTGCTCAGTCTTCCAGCTGGGCCCCCAGGGGTCCGCCGGCCCTGGCCCAGGGCAGGCACACATGCTTCATTGTGCCTCCCTCCCCCTTCCTTTTTTTCTTCCCTCCCTCCCTCGCAGGAACCTTTAACGCTTGTGAAGCTCTGGCGCGCGTTCACCGCCGTGCAGCCCGCCTTCAGGACGACGTACATGGCTTACCACCACTTCCGAAGCAAGGGCTGGGTGCCCAAGGTGGGGCTCAAGTACGGGACGGACCTGCGTGAGTAGCTCCCGGGGAGGGGTGGCACGGGCAGCCGCGGGCGGTTGCCGCCGCCCTCCTGGGGCCTCTGGCTCATGGGAGGCCGCGGAGCGCACGTGCAGCCTGCCCGGCCCTCAGTTGTCTTCCACGACCCCCGCTTGCCGCATGCCATCCTTGCCCTTCAGGACTCCCCGCGGTGGATTGCTAGAGACTTCCTGTAGGTCAGGCGTGGCATGGTTTGCCTGGGCCCCAGGGGCCGGGGTTTCCAGCCCAGGCACCGGTGTGGTCGCAGTACTCCCTCCCCCAGTGGCCAGGCGCTGCTTAGAGACAGAAAACACAGTTGTGAGCACCACAGACACAAAAAGCACGGCGCCCCGTGGAGGAATGTCATGAGCAGAGGCCGGAGCAAAGGCTGCTACTTAGGTCAGGAAACAGCTCGAAGCTGCGAGCACAGGTGGGGAGCAGTTGGCAGGTGAAAATGGAAAGAACATACTAGGCAAATGGCAAGTGCAAAGGCCCTGAGGCAGGAACATGCTCAGCAGGTCGCAGCAGCAAATGTGCTGCTCTGAATTTCCAGAAGTAGGCATAGGCTGTTTGTTCAGATGGGCTTGAGTCTCACTCATCTCCAGCCCCAGAGCTGAACCAGCCAGAGTGTCTGCTCAGCACATTGGGAGTAATACAGGATTGCTCCACATCATTCGAACTTCCTGCTTTTTTTTTGGTGGGGGGGGGGTGTTGCGTGGAGTGGTGGTATTATAGTTTGAACTCAGGGCTGTGCGCTTGCTAGGCAACGCTCTACTGCTGCTCCCGCCCTTTTTATTTTATTTTGAGGTAGAGTATCAGAGGGTTTCCCTTTTTGTTTGCTGTATCTGGGACGACAGGCACATTCCACCGTGCCCGGCTTTCTCTGTTGAGATGGGGTCTTGGAAGTGTTTTTGCCCTGGCTGTCTGGGAACTGGACTCCTCCTGATGTTTCTCTCTGAATTGCTAGCATTGCAGGCCAGGTGCCTGGCAGAACTTCACAGCCATGATACAGTTCACACTCTACCATGGAGAGTGTAAGGGAAGAGGCAAGATAAGGATCACAGGGAGGCCTTGTGTTTAGTCCCCAGTGCCAGGGAGAAGAGAGAGAGCAAGAGCCACATGTGCTCAACTGGTCGGAAGTGCACGGCGAGGAGGGAAACCTGGGGGGCCAGGGCCTTGGGAACTCACTTGCGTCAGGAAAGGCACTCGGCTTCTGGGAGGAAGGCGTGCCGGCGGGGCGCAGGGCAGAGCGCACATGCAGAGAAAAACAACTTAGCAGTAGAGGACACCGTCGATGGCGCATGGTGATAGGCTGTCTTTTTCTTTTTTGCAGTGCTGTACCGGAAAGGCCCTCCGTTTTACCATGCAAGGTTTGGAGCACTCTTTAATTGATTGAAGGCCACACAGGGCTTCCGGTATTGTCGCCATAGTGATGATTAAAAACCAGGTCCCTCCTGGCCTGACCAGGACCCATGCAAATGTCCATGTGGGACTGGGGGCGTGGCTTGGTGGCCAGAGGCATGTGGGAGGCCCCCCTTCCGTCCCCAGCACCTCAGAAACAGGCCCCTGCCTCTGCCCTCACCCCCAGCGGTCCCCTGTTGGGTGGAAGACTGTGTTGGGTCTGTGGTGAAGTCGGTGTAGGTACGTAGTGGTCGCCCCAGGCACCCTGGGTACCTGTCTGCAATTGTGCTGGGAAATTCTGTTCCTTGTCTACAGTTCTGTGTTGGAGCCAGCTGCAAGTTTGAGGCTACAGGAGAGAGAGGGTTCTGGTAGCCGTCAGGGTGTCTAGGGTCAGGACGCGTGTGCTTTTCCTGTAGCTTCATTCTCGGGAAGACAGGCAGTGTTTGTGAGCAGGTTGGTTGCATGGTTTTGATCTCCTAACCCACCCGTGTTTTGCAGCTACTCGGTGATGGTGGAGCTGGTTGATGACTGCTTTGAGGGCGCCCCCCGCAGGCCGTTCAGCTGGAAGTCCTTGGCTGCGCTGAGCAGAGTGTCAGCCAGTGTCTCCAAGGTAACTGCAAAAAAGTCATTTGAAGCCTGGTGCCAGTGGCTCACGCCTGTAATCCTAGCCACTCAGGAGGCTGAGACCTGAGAATCACGGTTCAAAGCCAGCCCAGGCAGGAAAGCCCATGAGACTCTTATCTCCAATGAACCACCAGAAAACCAGAAGCAGCACTGTAGCTTAAGTGGTAGAGTGCTAGCCTTGAGCTGAAGAGCTGAGGGACAGAGCCCAGGCCCAGAGTTCAGGCCCCACAACTGACTAAAAACAGTCATTTGTAGAACTTCCTGACATCCCTTATTTTTGCTCAAAGCTGGTGCTCTACCACTTGAGCCACAGCTCTACTTCTAGCTTTTTGTTGGCTAATTGGAGATGAGTCCTACAGATTTTTCTGCCCAAGCTGCCTTCAAACCATAATCCTTGGATCTCAGCCTACTGAGTTGCTAAGATTACAGGCGTGAGCCCCTGGCCCCCAGCCTGAGCTTAGTCTCCCTCCATGTTCACATGCGCAGTGCGCTGCACCTGCGTTCTCTCGCTCCTCGGCGGGTGCTGGGGGAAGCGATGTGTCCGTGTGTGCCATGCACGCATGCCTGCCCACACTCTCGCCGCTGTTTCTCACAGGAGCTTCTGCTGTGTTACTTGGTGAAGCCCTCCACCATGACTGAGGAGGAAATGGGGTCCCCGGAGTGCATGAAGAGAATTAAAGTTCAGGTGGGTCCACAGATAGACATGCACTGGCCCAGAGTCCTGGCACTACTGTGTGACCTTCCAGGCCCCGGAACCTCTCCCCCGCCCTCCCCCCCTCCCCCACAGTGGCCTCTCAGTGGCCAGGCCCGGCCTCTCATGCCTCCCCTCCTCAATGTCTCAGATGATGGCTGAGCCTCTTCCTGTCCCCCTGGCCAACTCCCCCGCCAGGGCTGCCCGGTCCACTGTGGAATCATCCATGTTTGTGTTGGCCCTGGGTAGCCCTGCATGCACACTTACACACACACACATACCCAGCCTGCCCCTGCCTTCTGTCACGCGTAGCCCCCACCTCTACGCTGCCCTGCCTCCCACCCAGCTGTCATCGCCGGGGCATCAGTGCCCTCCTCCCCGAGGCTGGCTGTCATGGGGCTGGGGCGTCCGGCTGCGTGTTTTCACATCGTCTGCCAGCCGGAGCAGGGGCGGCTCACCTCTCCACCGCTGCCTGGAGCCTGGCCTGATAGCATGTGCTTGGAACCTTAGAGACTCAGCACTTCTCATTTTTCCTGCCTGCAGGAGGTGATCCTCAGTCGCTGGGTTTCTTCACGAGAGAGAAGTGACCCGGATGAACTTTAGTGGCCCAGTGCAGCCTCCCCGTGTCCTGCCAGGGCCCGGGCAGGTGGGTACAATGTCCTGTCCTGGAACTGAAGTTTTAAAGGACGGCCGGCACACCACAGAAGCCTTGGTGTTGGAAAGGACTGCAGACTCCACCCGAGCGCCCGCCGTCCCTCCTCCCGCGCTGTGGAAGTCGGAGCTGGCGAGTCCAGCCCCACGGCAGTTCCGTGATCTGGGCACAGGCTGAGTTCCTGTCACCCTGTCCCTGGGAGGTGGCACTGGCAGTGAACTCAGGACCCCACGTCCCACTGCTTTAAATGGAAAGGCAGGATCTGTGTGTCCGCGTACCTGTGGGCTTGGCGCTAACCCGAGCACTGGAGAGCCTCTGTCCGGTCCGCCTGTCACCTGTCAGCTACTGCAGCCTGGCTCTCCCCGGTGCCCCGTCGTCTGCCCAGCGCAGCCAGGCCTGCGTGTTCAGAGACCTGCACCAAGCCAGCGCGCAGGGAACGTTCCGGGAGGAGGGTGAGCGGGCGTCACCTTTAGTGAAAGTCAAAGACGGGGTGTCCGCGTGAGGAGCAGGGCTCGCCGGGCTTGGCTTCGCGGGGCTTCGCGGGGCTTCGCGGGGCTTCGGAGCTGTCACGGCCGGGCGGGGCGGCGGCTGGACTGGGCGGGGCCGGGGCCTGCCTCCACCCTCCGCTGCTCCGCGGAACCCCTCAGTCCTTCCAAGGGACCTGACTCCCTTAAAGAGCCCACCCGGCACCCCCACTGCACCGACAGTGAGGCGTCTGCGTGAGTTTGGGTGAGGACCCCACATCCACGCGCTAGCAAGGCAGGGCCTGGCCGGGAGGGGTGAGAGGGCCGGAGGAAGCCCGGGGCTCCTCGAGGCCCGCAGCCCTGGGCCTCTTGGCAAGCAGATAGCAGAGCGGGCACTGCGGGCGCACGCCCCGCC